GCTTTGCTTTCGCCCTCATTTTGCTTTTGCTTTTACAAATCAATGTCTAGTGTTCGAAAATATGTAATATCTTTAAGCTTTAATGCTTTAAGATAAGATTAAAATGTGATGCCAATTGTGTTGAAACCACAGCCAAATACACGCAATAAAATAAACAGAAAAGTAAACAAAACACTTGATTTATCCTGATTCGTTCCAGTTAAGGAATTACATCCAACATTCAAATAGAGATTTTGTATTAAGTTTTAGAACATTGTAGCAATTACAATCTTAATGACGGCAGCTCACTCTCTATTTTTTTTGTAACCCTTGCTTCCTCACTATTATATCATATAATAGAAAACTTTATCCCATTTGGACTTACTCGAATCTAATCTGACCCAGACCTAAATATTAGTAAAACAATAACAAGTTCAATTACTAAAATGTGATGCCAATTGCATATGTGGGTTAAGATACGCTTTCATGAATTTGTACCATTTTTTCGGTTTGCAAACAAAATATTCATGTACCAATTTTTTGTTTTGGCATCGGTTCATTTCTTAACTAGCAATCAAAGTTGAAATTCTCTTCTTCTAAAACTAGGAAGTGTTGGGAATTCAGATAACAAGGAACATCTCCAGGCAAAATGGAAAACATAAAAATAAAATAAAAAAACAATTCATTTATAAAGAGATTACATGAAAAACAAAAGTAAAAATAAAGTCTGGCTAAATATTTATGTTTTCTGCCAATTTAATTTATCTTTGTTATAAGGAATTAGATATATAATTATATTCTATCTTCAAAGAGCTAAACCCGCTAGCCGCTAGCCCTCCCCTATACAAAATTTCTATTATAGGAAATTAGTGCACTTCTGAAGTATCTTAATTATGCAGAATTCGGAACTTCACTTGTCTGTGAAGAAGTCTTTTGGTATTTTCCCTGCGGTTAATTCCATAGCATATTTATAGTTATCTTTGCTTTTAATAAAACAATTTGACGATATCAGTCTAAGTAATTCCATAAAATCCAGAATAAAAAACTTGCAGACAGAATCACACAAACTCTGTTTTTTGGCTCTGTAGTATCAGTTTATTATGCAAATTAGAAACAATTTTCTGCATAATATTTCATCTGCTGTTACAAAACCATATTTAGCTACTGAAGACAAAGAATAAGAAATGGAAAAGACTAAGGGCAGTTACAAAACCATGATTAGCTCTCTGTTTTTGTTAATATATAAATACCATTATCTGTTAATCATGTACAAATCATCATATTATTGCAACAATCAGACTGCCAATTCTCTGCAATACAAGTTGGACAGCACAAAAAACTAGATGTTAGCAAAATAAAAGATGTTAACACGAAGTTTATTGCTTGGTCTTATCCAAATTTCAACCAATAGAGGAAACTGCAACAAAGAAAACAAGTTTTTCATTAAGTATTCAAGACTACAATTCTGGTTTATATAGCCAAAGCAATGTTGGCAATCCAGGTGAAATCTCCTAATCATCAGGTGATAAAAGAGGAACTGAAAATAACAGAAAGTTCTTAACAAACTTTGCTTACTTAAACTAACACACTTCTTCATCAGTTACGAGAGTTACTGTATTGGTCAAAACAGGTAGTTCCATAAGTGGATAAGAACATTTCAATCAAAAGAGGAAACTGCAGTCTTGAAAATAAGATCATTGTGAGGCAACCAACGAGGGCAATTGGCAACAAAAGTGGTATCCATATATGAGCGAGAGTTATGCACATGGCTGCACCAAAGGCTACCATCATGCATACAACAGAGGAGTAAAGTGATGTGGCCAATAACAAAATTGTTTGGCAAGTACTCCAGAAAATCCTCTTCTGAATAACATGAAGCGACGATGCCCAAGAACATCAACAACAAAGCGCTGCTTGAAAAGAGTGCAAGCACATCAAATGTGATAAAGGTTTTGAAAGATAGACAAAAATTTAGGGGATCCCATCATCCGTATTGGCACCTGGTAAAGTGAAAGCCGCAGCAAACACTACGGTGATTATGAGTGCAACAATGCATGAAGAAGCAGTCTCCTTCATCCATTTTTCACCCCCTTTAACTGACTTCTCGTGTTCTTCAGTGAAAACTTCTTTAGGAGTTTTATTGAATTCATTTGGTTGTTCTTCAAGGGATGGATGGGCATAACTTTTCACAGCCTGAGCATGAAACAACAACAACATAAGTATAAATAGCTGTAAATCATGGTCATTCTTGATTTGAAGCACTGCATGTTAGTTAAATGTATTCACCTTAAACCATTGTAGTTCTCTCTGCATATGCAATGCTGCTCCAGGGACTTGACTTGAATGTTCCAACCTTCTAGTTAAATGCAGTAAGTTTTCAGTTTTTTCTCCCTTGGTGGCTGCTTTCCACTCCCATAAAAGTAAGTCGAACTTATTTAGGAGACTTAAAACTTTTTTCTTGGTGATGTATTATTGCAAGATGAAAGATAGCATGCCCATTTTCGTTCCAAAAGCAGTAAGAATGGTAATAGGCGTTCAGAATTACACGCAAAATCTCGCAAATCCCCAGTCCTGCCGCTGTGAGAATTGGGATTCTCTATGACTTCAAGGCTTCTTTAGTACTCCAAATAGTTCCCTCATGACACATCAATCTAACAATTTCAACGGTTTGCATGTGCATTAACTTTGTATCATTGATGTATTTGATGCCTGGAACTGTCATTCAACTCTCAAGTCAACAAAAGAATATGTCTTTCAAAGAGCTCATTCTAATTAGCTACAAATAGTTAAATACGTTTAATATTTACCTAGATTGATGTACAAACTGCAGCTTTTAATTAATAGAATCATAAGTTAATAAATAATTTAAAAGAAGTGACTTCGTTTGACTTAGTTGATCTCTCAAATATTTGATTCTCCACATCTCCAAGCACACTTATAAGGTAATGGATCTGTTCTTCTTGCACAGGCATCCCTGCAAAATCATTTCATGACTTCCTCAATTATAATAGACAGACACTAAAAGATCAATAAATGAAAGGAGACGATAAAGAGTAACGTACAGTTATAGATTAAACTTCGCCAATAGCGTAACTGACAACCACTTTCAAATGCCAGTGGATTATTAGCCAGCAATCCTAAAACGCTCCCTCTGTCCTCTTTTCCAAGGACTAAGTTTGGATATTTCTTCAATAAATCAAAAGCTGTACCTGTAAGTGGAGTTGAAAATTGAATGTTATGTAACTATTTAATTAGAAAAGTGATTAAAATGCCCATTATATAAACTATATGAATTGTACTTACCATAGTGACCAGAACTGATCAAATTTTTAAGCAGTGGAATGCCATACTGGTCATCCAAGGGAGCAGTTGTCACTTTGAATAGATATTGAATTATCTCCTTGTGGCCATATGCAGCTGCTGTGTGAATTGGAAGTAAACCGGCCCTGTTCCGAATGTTAGGCAAAAAATTGTCACTACCCACAAAGGCTTCTGCAGCCATTTTATTGCCGTATAAATCAGCCATGAATAAAGCTGATTCGCCATCCTCATCTGTCAACTGTTCTAGTGTTTTTGCAGGGACACTTGATACAAGCCTCTTTATAAGCCAAAATGGGGTACCTAACTTTCGACTAGTTATGTGAAAAACTGTGTCCAACTCATATACTTTAATCTTGGCTGTCAAGCCACTGGCATTTCGGTTTATGAATTCTTCTACACCTTTCCAGTTATTTTTTTTTTGTATAGCCTTGTATAGTTTCCAGTACCGAACATGATATTCATTCTCCTCACTAATTTGGTTGACTACGTATGCACACATGAGAAAAAGTATGTAAGGCACAAATTAATACCATTAGTTGTTGAATCAGGACAAGAATTTAAAAGATTATACGTATATAATTAATACTGAAATATACTATCATCAATGCACGTATTTAACTTACTTTCTCTCTTCAGAGAGTGATTGTGTAAGCGATTTCGTCCTCTAATTGGCAGTGATTGTTGAAACTCTTACCATCAAAATCACCTTTTTGGCTTTGTCAGCCAACTTTTAATTTGCTCCATGAAAGTGATTTCTTCTCTTGGTAAGTTGGTATCATTCCCTAAAGGGGAAGAAAAAAAAAATGTTTACAAGGGGGATAAACTAATAAACATATGCTGTGATGATGCAGTATTTATAGAGGCCTTTGAGTTGTTGCATGCAAAGCAACAGCTTCCCCTTGACATGAAACTTTAGGAGTTTTTTATTGTTCTTGGAGCTGTGATGATGCAGTATTTTCTCTGTTTCTGCAGTGGCTTCTCTCTGCCCTTCTTTTCTTTTTTTCTTTTGCAATTTCCAAGTTAGCAATTCAAGCTGTAATACTTAAACATAAGATTAAAATGAGATGCTAATTGCATCTCTTGGTTAAGCTTTCATGAATATGCATAATTATTCCCATTTGATTTCAAAAAATTCTCTCTCCATCTTTTTATTAACAAATTTGCAAGCTAAACAATGTTGGATCAGTTTGTATCTCCATAGGTTCGTTTCTTAGTTAACAATCAAAGCTGCAATACTCTTTTTCAGAAACCGAAAAGAACTGTAGAGAATTCATGTAACTGGGAATTTTTCTCTACAAAATGGACCACATAAAAAAGAGCAAAGACAAAAAGGAAAGGAGAACAGACGTTAATAATAATATAACAGTTCCATTTTCTTGTGCCTTCTCTCAATTTCATTTATTGGAATTTTGTGATTGTATAGAAATGTCATTTAATTTTTTATGTAGAAGTCTTTTAGTATTCCCCCAACATGATTAATTCCATAAGATATATTGACGTTCTCTAGGATATCTAGAATTCTCTTTGCATTGTAATTCAAGAAAATTCAGAAATAAGAAATCTGTAGATACAATTACAAAATCTCTGTTTGTCGCTCTGCAGAACCAATTTATTTAATTTCTTCAGCACTTACAAATATTTTTTCTGCGTAATATTTTCATCTGTCAACAGTAGTACCTCTTATTTTTGACATCTAAGTTATAGGACCTTTGAATTAAAAAAAAAAAAAAAAAAAATGCTATTTATACTGTAACTCTCAAATCCCTTCTGGAATTGTCGGGCACATCACAAGAAGGTACATCTTTCATTTGGTTAAAGCACGGTGACAATTTGTGTAGCTTTTAGAAAGAAGTTTCACTCCTTATTTGGTTGAAGAATACTAGATCTATAAGTGGATGAATATATTTCAAGCAACGTAGGAAACTGCAGCAAGCCAAACAGGGTCACTGGAACACATCCAAGGAGGGAAATTGGAATGATGGTCCATTTCCATGGATGAGAAAGGAATATGTAAACAGTTGCACCAAATGCTACCATCATGCTTGCTATAGAAAAAAACAACGTTATGAGGCCAATAATCAATTTCTTCGGCAAGGACTCCAGAAAATCCTCTTCTGAATAACGTGAAGTGAGGATGCCCAAGAACATAAGTAGTGAAGCAGTGGAAGAAAAGAGTGCAAAGGCATCTGATACTGCAAACACTAAGAAAGATGGTTGATGCAAGAAAATTGGTATCCCGAAAGGGTTGTTGCCGCCTGGTACAGTGAAAGCTGCGGCAAAGACGACTGTGATTATGAGAACAGCTACAAATGTGCATGATTTAGCAGTGGTCTTCATCCATTTTTCACCTTTTTCTACTAATTCCTTGTGTTCTTTGGTAAACACTTGTCTAGGAGTTCTATGGAACATATCTTGCTGTTCTTGAAGGGATGGATGGACATAACTTTCCACCGCCTGATCAAAATCAAAAGTCATTGGCTGAAGGCAGAAGAAAAAATCATATATAAGTCTTTTCCTTAATGAAAAATTTGGACATTATCCAAAGACTACATAGGATAAGACATTTATAGAGAAGAAATTCCAAAAAAAAAAAAAAAAAAAAAATGGGTCGATCATTTTAAATTACTAGCAATTGCATGGTTATATGCTATAGAAAATGTATCACCTTATACCACTGTAATTCTCTCTGCATTTGCAGTGCTGCACCGGAGATTTCACTTGAAGATGCTGACCTTGCAACTAGATGCAAAATGTTATATTTACTTTCCGTATTCGCTGATTTCCAACCCCATAAATATAAGTTCATTTTCTTTACCAAACTAAAAACCTTTTCTTGGCGATTTAGGACTGCAAGCTCAAATATACCGTGACCATTTCTGTCAACACAAGCAAATGAATAAAAATAGGCCTTCAGAATCTCATGGACGATCTCGTAAATCCCCAATTGTGCAGCTTTAAGATATGGGGTACATAATGACTCTTTGAATTGTTTGTCACTCCAACAAATTCCCTCATGACACATTATTTGAACTATTTCAATTGTTTGTATATGCATTAGCTTTGCATCACGTATGCACTTGATAATTGGTACTGCATTCAATTGAACTCAAGAAATTAAGGAATGATTTTCTTTGAAGTACTCGTTTTAAAAGAATAATTGAATTCTTACCTCGCTGCACGAGTGCATTCCAGAGGATAATATGTAACTTTTGGTGCAAAGTGCCTGTGATACAAGCACCTGTGATATAATCATATAAGCAGCAAAAGGCAAGTTACATACATTTATAATGTCCTTCTTTCAATCATTAGATTGAATTAGATTATATAAGAGGTTTACAAACCAAAAGCAATAGAGTGTCGTCGAAGAAATTCCAAATTTGTTGACTTTGTTAACTCTTGCGATCTTTGATGGGAGGGGTTCTCCATGTCTCCTTCTACACTTCTAGGGTGAGGAATTCGTTCTTCTTGCACAGGAATCACTACACAAACATCGAATACAGTTAATGATAAAGTGGGTCTTAGAATATACAATTAATGATAAAGTGGACCCAATTTCCAATATGAAGTACAACATAGAGGACTCATATTTAAACAGATCCTTTATGATCTTCTCGATTAAAAACTACAAAAAGAACTTGTATGAGGCAATACTCTTGGACCAAATTATATATCATATTAGAGATGTTATATTAGCTAGACTTCAAGATATGCATAACGTGAAAGCATGTGTGTATATAAAAAGTATGTTGGCACGCACACTTGTAGATTAAGCGTTTCCAATATCCAAAACGACTCCCACTTTCAAATGCCACAGGCCTGTTAACCAACATTGATAAAATAACTCCTCTGTCCTTGTTTGATTTTCGAGCTAACTCTGGATAGCGCTTTAACAAATCTAAAGCTATACCTGTTAAAGGAATAGGGACGAAAATCAGAGCACGTAGGGAAATATATGGTTGTATGAAAGTAGAGCCCTAATGGAGAAAATAAGACTAAAAATACTTAAAAAAACTGTGTTTGTTTTGATTGCCTTCACTGGAATCAAATATTGCACTTACCATAGAGACCAGAATTGATAAGGTCGCAAAGCAGTCGAACACCATTATCATCATCCAATCGACTTCTCGTCACTCGAAATAGATATTGAACCGTTTCCTTGTGGCCACTCGTGGCTGCTAGATGAATGGGAAGATAATGATTGTTGTCCGTTATGTCTGGCAAGTTCGAGTTCCTAAGCACAAACACTTCTGCAGCTTTTCTATTGCCATCTTTAGCCGCACGAAACATAAGCGACTGGCCTCTGCAATCTTTTAACTCTTCTAATAATTCTGGATCGACCTTTTGTGCAAGGCGCTCCAAAAGCCTAGTTGGGGGTATGTAAATTTCGAGTAATTACGTGGAAAAGGGTCCACTCTATATGTATTTTAATCATGGCGGCCAAGACCTTGGGATCGTCTCTGACGAAATCATCCACACCTTTCCAGTCATTATTTTGTATAGCCTGCAATAGCGGCCGATACAGAATATGGTCCTCGTTCTCCTGACTCGTTTTCTCAGCTGTTATTTCAAATTTATATGTACATATTAATGAGAATTGTAAAGCATATGCAAGGTAGAAATACAATTTATTATGTGAATTTTCTCAGGCTCTTTAACTTACATTCTTCAGCATTGTTATTCATCTCAGTGATTCCGTCTATTTTTCTGTTAACCAAGTCACTGCAAGGTTGAAGCACACTAATGATTAATTTATTTAAAGACGTACCTTCGATAAAATCATGCCAGCAAAATTATTAGAATCCAACAAAAAAAATATAATATGGCGAGAAAATCATATTATATCAGTATTGTACTATTGTTTTTAACATAATTACCTTATGAGTTCAGATACCTCAACCTTATCGCTTTGCAACTTTGCAGTTCGCTCCACGGGATCACCTTGCTTCATCTCAGTGATTTCGTCTCCCTTTCTGCTATCTAAGTTAATGACGGGTTGAAAAGGATCCATCACTTCAGTCTGAAATTTCTCAAAAGGAAAATTAATGTGACAGCCACTAGGGAGGGAGCTCAAAATAAATAGAATGAACGGAATTAAATTAGAAATCTATACATCACGCCAGCTCATTGTAGGCCAGAGGAAATTAAAGGAATCATCAACACATATACAAACTTTCATATAACTCATTCATACAATCCAATGTTTTTAAATGTAATTGGATGATTTTGAATTAGAGAAAAATTAAATAATAAAAGTAGATGATGTTGTCAAACATACAAAGTGGCCATATCATTTTGTATGAATGAGCTGTTTTTGAAAAGTTTGTGCATGTATTACCCAATTAAAAAGGGATAATTTAGTGAAAGGACGAAGAATTTCTTGTAACACTGACAGGACAAACAAATATATGTTTAATTGTAAGTCGATTCAAAGACTCCTTATTCAATATTTTTCCTGAATCTAGCATTTGAAAAAAAAAAAAAAAAAAAAAAAAAAAAAAAAAAAAAAACGAGTTTATATACATTTTGGCCCCAGAGGTTTAGTGAAAGTATTGTGGCTCGATCAGTTTAAAAACTGTCCCCAGTACTTAGCGGATCTTATCAAACAACATATATGGCACCTAAAATTTTCAAAAGAAATTAGCATATCAAGAATGAATTTAGTCTATTGCATCTCTTTTTGCTTTTCCTTTGTAGAGACTCTTTTTGTGTGAATCAAAGTAGTAATAAAAAACACAACCGAGTTCAACTATAAAATTGTTAGATACTATGAATTATAGTGATATATTATATTGAATTAATTTCTTTGAGCTAAATTAGCAATATTTTATAGAGTGATGCTATTGGCCCCCCACATTTTATCTTTCAAGACTCCATTTCTAAGTTTACCCCATTAAATTGTTTTAGTATATGTAAAATGTCTTTATAAACTCCACCTACTTCCAAAAACATCCTTTAATTTATATTTTCAATATTTTTTATGCTTCTTGTTTTGAATGTAATGATGTCTTATTTAGTAATTTTAAAGAAAGGCTAAGGAAGTAAACGATCTTTTAGTAAATGAATAATGAATTAGTTGGTTCAGTCTCTGCGATTCAGCAGTTTGTTCGCTGGACTCATCTTGCTTCACCTCAGTAAATTCGTCTCCATTACTTTTAACTAAATCAATGGAATGTTGAGTGGGATCCATTGGCGGTTCGGGACGAAGAGTACTCCCTCGGGTTTAAGCTATTTGTAAAAAGGCTAAAGCCAACTCATTGAAACAATTTAATCATTAATTTTATTCTTGAAAAAGCAAAAACTTCCCCAGGGTGAAATTGTATTGGAAATGTTCTCTATTTTACGTTGATTCTATGAGTCAGATGGAAGAAAGTTCTTATTATAACTTTTATGTAATGAAATGCAATGGCAGATTGCCTTTTTTCTGTTATTGTTCTTACTTCTTCTTCTTTGGTTACTTCTGACTCAACTCTTAGAAACTTCTAATTATAGTATTTTGCGTGAAATTCATTTCTTCCTTGACAATCAAAGTTGCTTTCTTAATTTGCATCGGTTCATTTCTTCCATGATAATCAAAGTTTACAAGAATAATTTCGTTTTTTCTTTATTTATCTCCAATAATACTGCCTTTGTATTTTTCTAAACAAACCAGATGGTCCTCCATTAAAGTGTTGGGGCCTGGGGAACAGTTCTGGATTGAAGAAAGAAAAAGTGAAAGAAATTAACAGTAATAAAATAGGAAAGGAACAATTTAACTTTTACTCCTTTTCCATTTATTCCTTTCCTCAGTAGTTGTTTTTGTTGTAAGGATTTAACTGGATGCCAGCAAATCCTAAATCCCTATTAAAGCGAAAATAAAGTGAATTGAAGACATTTATTTATTTCTCTGTCTCTACAGTGGCTATTCTTTGCCCTTCTTGTCTCTTTTCTTTTGCAACTTCCAAGTTAACAATTCAAGCTGTAATACTTAAACATTGGATTAAAATGAGATGCTAATTGCATCTTGTTATGCCTGGGAACTTAGGGCTGATGTGGCACCCAGTTAAGTGTGCAAGGTCAGACCTCAGGAAGAGCCTACTGCCATTCTGACACGGTTGCTTCGTGTGATCATGGTGGCACCCACAGCTTGCTTCCGTCAGAGTAATGGGTGCACGTTAGGCCAGCAAGGAGTTGTGATGACCCCGCGTGTCCAAACCCTGTAGCAAATCACGTGAATTACTCTAAACGAAGGATTTGCACGGATCATTCCACCAACTTGCAGATTCAATGATGATTACCTCAAGGCATCCCACTATAAAATGGGAGCTCCTCTCTCATCAAAGGGATTCGCGTATTTTAATCTTGCAAAAAAGAAAGAACTCTTTCTCTCTCTAGAAAAGACAGTCTTCAATACCTTGTATCATCAGTGTAAAGTCAGTCGTCTAAAGTGACCTGACCCTTATCATTAATAAAAACATCAGTGGACGTAGGATTTGCTTCCTTAGCATCCGTAACACTTTAAAACTCCTTTCTCACTGCATTTAATTTCATCTCTCCAAACCATTCACGTGTGTCTTTTGGGGCCAGCTGACATTTCACACGTGCGTTTCGTTGGTGTCAAAATCACGCATCAACAGTTTGGCGCTAGAAGGAGGGGCTGATTTAGTGTTCATCCTTCATCAGGAGAATCTCCAACCTATCGGTCCTACAGCAACAAATGGCCCGCCAACCAGAACCTGAGCAGACTAACCAGGACGCTGAGGGGCTCCCCCAAGTTCAGGGGGACACCTCTTCCAGAAAACCTTCAGCCTCGTAAAATGCTGCAGGAGATATCCCGTCAAGTTCACAACTTGACCCTGTTATTAGAAGCTACCTGGATAGGTTTGACAATACTCTCCAGACGGTCAACCGAAGGCTAGACC